CACACGCTCCGTGCTAGTCATCGAGGGAGCACTGCGCCCAACGCGGAGCGCACGCTCTCTTCTTATTCTTATATATAGATCGAATTTAAAAGTGAACATCGTTTTTATTGCCAAGATTTTCCCCGAGATGAGAGATCGTCGAGAGGCTTCTGCGCCGCGCGTACCTTAACAATAACAACGAACAGTGCAGGTTGGGTGATGTAAGTGCGCGTGCAGCCATTAAAGACGGAACGCTGTCGAAAAATTAGTTGCCCTTGCGTCTGCGTATCTAAGGAGTCGAGAGAGGAGAAACGCGCGGCGTGTCACTGCCAACTTGCGTGCGCTTTTCCTTTATCGGCTTGAAAATTATTACATAGTGGGAACGATTGTTAATGGTGCATCGTTGGATCATAATAATACGGTAATAGTATTATTCATTTACCTCCTCAAACGAAGGATTTTAAAAAATGTCCTACCACTCATACATTTCTTATACTATTCATTTGTATTGCGCCGGAGTCTTAGAAATGTAAGATGCGCTTGGAGGCAAATGAATGTTCCACAGTGTATAATTGAAATTAGCACAATTTGTGGAATAGATTTATTTATTGCCAATATATGAAATTGTTAATTAAATGGAATTGCAATAGATCATGTGCAAACAATTTATAAAGTTTATAAAATAATTCATCGATATTTAAATGTAGAAAGAGAACAAAATTAATAATAATAATAATAATAATAATAATGTGAGGTAATAAGGTAGCATTGACAGTATATTGTACTGAAAGTGCCCAACCCAAAATAGCATAGTCCGACGAACATAAAAGATCGGCTATGCCGACAGCCATTTTGAATTTCCAACGTCTTCCCTCGAATTTCAAATTAACGGCTTGGGAAAACCCTGGAAAGGATACAGTGTGCATGAAACTTGTGTCACAAAATTTATCCATGAGCAACGTATTTGTATGCTAATGAAAAAAGGCTGATTACCAATATAAAAATTTAATTGTATTTATAAAATATTAATCAACGATATACAGAAAAATCGAAAAATTTACTTGATTTTTATTCATGTTTTCTTCCTCGACGTTATTTACAGATGCGTATGTATATGTTTAATATACTTACGAGTCTTGAAAATATTTCTTAAATTTACCTTTTTCGATTAACTTTTACTTCGTTCGGTGATTTTTATTTTTTTTTTCACGGTTCCATCGCTCTGAAATCATTATCCCTCGGTTTATTTCTTTTCTTTAAATTTTCAAAAAAAAAGAAAAAAAGAATAAGAAAAAAAAATAACGAACCTTGCTAAAAATATATATTCGATTTAATTACGAAGTCGTTATTAATTAAAACGTTTGAAATAAATAGTTTGACGTCTGGGCTAATTTAGTCGAATTACTCAATTAAAAAGATAATTACCATTTGTGATAATAATTTTATATAATTAATTAATTAATTCGAGAAAAAAACTGCCAAATTTGATCACTTTTTTTTATAAGTTTTAATTTTATATATTTTTTTTTTATTACATTATAGTGAATGTTATAGTTTATAAATTTTTATTTATTTTTTATATAAGTTCCGTATATAATTTTATTTCGTTCATTGATATAAAAAATGTTCATTACATATGTTAGATCCATATAATTACATATTGCAACAATGCATCGTAATATTATTAATTATATGTTGTCATTAAATATAGCTATACATTAATTGTACTATTGTGATTTAGATCAAATATTCATTAATAATAAATTTATTACTAATATATTTTTAACGTATTTTAAATTATATTTTGCTTCCTTTTTTTTTATCATTATTTTCGGTTTCAATTGTAATTATTATCATTCATTATATATATATATATATATATATATATATATATAATTTTTTGTTTAACTATAATTAATAAAATGGAAATAATACAAATATTGGCATAATACAATTTTACTTATTTATTTTTTAAATATCTTATTAGCTTATTTGTAGCTATCGTTAGGATTTCTTAAAACTGTCTCAAAATGAAATACATTAGTATACATGATTTTTTTTAATGATAAAGAGAACTATTTCGGTCTAAATGGTTGTTACAAGTTGTAACGTGTCATACGTGCGTTGACTATACAAAAATTCTAGTGCTTAAATTAACATAATATAGCTGCTTTTAAATTTAAATTAATTGGAAATTGAAAGCAGTTTCATTAGAAAGACTGTGAAAAGTAAGGGTAAGAAAATTATTAGGGTCGGTAATTTTATAGGTGGAAATAAAATTATTTCTATGTAAGTTGTGAGATCTTTTCAAGTCATGGTAAAATAAAATTTTATTGTAAATGTTATACAACTAAGTTTTTGATTAAAATTTTCTTTTTACGAGGCAGAAATTTTTAATGTCGAATTATCTCAGCTAAATTTAATTACATTTTCTCATATATATATATATATATATATTAAGAAAAAAATTATTACAATTGTAAGGTACAGTTTATCTGCAGTTGTTTTTTCTTTTCTTTCTTTCACTCAGATACAACTTGATAATAGCAATTTAATTTTAATTTAATTCCTGACTATTTAGTAAAATCAATTACACGAATTTATGATAAAATAAAATATTTTTTTAATTTACATTTTATATATTTTATTTCAATGGATTAGTTTATTATTGTTTTGCCATTGTGATACTTTAAAATTTCTTTCAATATTTCCGTACTTCAGACAAATAAAGCATTCTAAAGTTTTGGCAATGCTATTGAAGTCTCTACAACAGTAACATCACGCAAACGAACTTCAGAAACCCGAATGAGTTTCAAAAGTTCAGCTTATTTTAAATTGTACAAAAAAAAACTGTATTGGTATACTTAGACAATATTGTATAAGTATTGGTAGAAAAACGATTTCTCTCTCTCTCTCTCTCTCTCTCTCTCTCTCTCTCTCTTTCTGTCTCTATTTTTATTATCACTCCAACATGTGTAATTGTACCTAATTCTAACAAATCTTTTGAATAAAAGTTTGATTATATTATTTAGCCAAGCCATTAGTATTCATGTGATCGTACATATTTTATCGACTATTACCGATTATTGATAGTGTGCAGTGGTCGAATATTCGTCCTGAAAGGGCTTTGCGATTTCTCAAATTGCATTCTATGGCTGCGCGCTCGCCTTCAATCAAACAATAACAACCATCGATCAAAAGCACTATAAAGTGCAGTTTTCTTGATTGTCATTGGACCAATAGTGTCGTAGGGCAGTGGGGGGAGGGAGGCTGTCCCACAGAAGATAGACGGTTTTAACCATATCACTTGCCGATTTATGTGTCAATAGATGGTGAGCGACGAGCGTAGAGTGTTAGCTGGGTGTGAAAGGGCGGCAGGGGGGTGGGAGGTTGTTGCGAAATCGTATCGTATTATTTATATTCGCTCGATAATTGCGAACGTCCAACGTAAATTATCGATGTGAATTAAAAGTAAAATATGTTCGTTCCATTTACGGAATGCTTTATTGGAATGCGCTGAGAAAATATTTAAAAAAATTACTTTCTCGAATTCACATTTGACTCTGTTGCTCATTTATACTGTACTCATTCGTGTGTACTGAGCTGTGTACTTTAAACACGTATAATTTTTTGTTGAAAATAATCGGCTTTGGGTTCCGCTTCAATGATGCACAAACTTTATGCGTATTATATAATTATCTTCTTAATAGGTTTAGCTCAATGTAATCGATTACACGCTGTGAGCGATGATATTGACACCTTTGCTAAGAAATAAAAGTACTTTTAAACAAAAAAGGATCCAACCTTTTACGCTATGATGTTATGCACACAAAAAGAACATAATTAAAAAAACAAATTTTTAACCACTATTATACAAAAAATTTTAAATATGTGAATTAATCGTTTTCTATAATTAACATATCTATACTTTATTATATTTTCAATATAGTTCTGCATGAATCTGCTTATACGTGTGTACACAGAAGTACACTGTAATTTTTATGTTTATTTTTATTTTATATTTCGTTTGGAAACAATAAGTTAACATTTTTTAAATATTTGAAATAAACGTATATGGACATAAGTAATTGTAAGATTTTCATTGTTAGTGAAATGATAAGCAATAAATACATTAATCAATTGAAGATAAATGAATGTAATTTATAGTATTGCCTAAAGCTGGTTTAAGATGTTGATCCTTACGTTTTCAGTATGAAAGTAAGACAAGTACTCGATCAGTGTGTCAAACTTACTTTTCCACGGTAGTTAGAACTTTGAGAAAATTCTCTTCCCCATACATCTTTTTCAATTATTTATTAATTTTTTTTTTCTACAAATTGCCATAAAATTATTTAATAATTGAATGTATTTAAAGATAGAAGGATGTAATTAATTAATACGTACAAAACATGTACAAACCATGTTGGGATGAAAAATAATTTCCAGAAGATAAAATAAAATTTACAAGCCCTGTTATATATTCTATATATATATATATATATATATATGCTATAGTGGCTGCACATACATATAGCAAGTATATGAAAATACAAAAATTCGAGACGAAATTAAGTATCTCCGTAACTCCAATAGATACTATTGCTGATTCTTTTTTCGTCTTCTGCATATGTTAAATATATGTAAAGCGGGTTTATTTGTAGCTTATGTAAGCTTATCATGAGACGAATTCTTTATAATTCCACAAATTCTTACATCCAGTTAAGAATCTGACACTTCTATTACTATTCCAGATTCATTTTTTTTTTTTTTTTTTTTTTTTTTTTTTTTTGCAAATATCTTACCAAGAAATACTCCTTTGGCCTCACTTACCACATTTAAAAAATACGCATTAAAAATTCCTACAGCCGGCTCTATGACTATTTAATAAGTCTTTATTATCATTCCCGTTTTCTGTTTCCGTAATTTTGATCACCGACATAGTATAGCTTATATTCTAAACTATATTTTACGTTAAGTTATTTATTGTTTTTATAATGAGAATTTGTTGACTTTCAAAACAGATTTAAAAGAAGAGATAGACAAGATAAAAAGCAGACATGATCAAGTTGAAACGGGCGTAAAAAAGTCAGCGAGCATGGAAATGTTTCCCTGGATAACAGAATTCCGTGCTCTGTGTAGGTCTTCATTTACCCGACAAGGTCCATCATCTCTCATCAAGTTAATAAGATTCTTCAATAGGTAATTCAATCGTTTAATTATTATTTATTATATCGCCAGGAAACCTCGAGAAAATTATTGCCCAAGATTTTGTCGAATGTCCATCCACGTAGTAAAACTAGAAATTATGAATTTTTTTTAATTGTGCATTTGGCTTTATAAATGCGAATGAATTATTATTAAATTGCCGACTGAATCACGAGATTTAGAGAAAAGAGACGAGAAACTTTATTTTCCAATCACTTTAATATCAATATGACTGTCGTAAAATATTGGCATTTAAACATATGGTTAAAAAATATCTAAATTATTTTCAAAATACAAATATTTTAACGACTAAGCAAATTTACTTAGCATTCGTCACGTCGAACAATTAAACATATGTCTTTTGTGTCCGTCTTACATTGCTAAATACGAGTGCTACCCACAAGTTTTTCAATTATTTATATAATCGTACTATTAGCTTAACGCTGTTCAGCCTTATTACGACATTTTCATTGAATATTATTTTTACGAAATATTGCACAATATTTGTCGACTGCCAAGCAAATGCCAATCCATAATTAGCATAAAAATTGATAATATATACAAGGAAAAAATACTATAATGCCATCTTCCTTAATTACAGGAATGTAAGCTCGAACGTTAACGACTGCTATAAAAAGTCGTCGCGAGCGGCGAAACTGAAGGAGCTCATTAAAGACGCTTTATTATTGTTCGTATATTTCCATCGTTTTGAACAGCCGCAGGTAAAATTAAGATTAATGTAATACTCTAATAAGATGATGGTTACTGACGAAAGTGTCCGTACGTGTACAAAAAGCTGCTTATTTTCGAG